CCCCGTCCCCGCACTTGACTCCCTTCCCTAAGTCCTGAAGCTTTTACTGCCTCCGGCGGCTTCGAGAGTCACCACCTGCCTGGAGCCCCTCTACCTTGCCCCCTTGGCCCTGGGACCACCTTGTGGCCCACGTTCTGTCCACTGGGAGGCTGGGGTGGCAGGACGTGAAGGGGTCAGCGGACTTGGGTGAGCTCCTGTGTGTACACGTGTGTTCTCATTTGCACACGTGTTCCCAGCGCAAGTCAGAGACTGCTGCCCCTGCGTGGAGCCCTGTCCTGCCCCTGCTGTCCTGCTGGTGGCGGACATCACATCTTGTCTTACACCCTCACTCCCTGCCCAGGACCAGGAGGGTGGCTGAAGGTTTTATGGGGGTTGTTGGCCAAGAGAGGGGGCTTATTTCATAGAGACTGCCAGTTCACTCTGGGCGTCTTCTCTGGGGCTGCCAGCCTCCACCACATTGTGTCTGTCCCTGTGGGAACTGTGTCTTGCTGGTGGAGGCTCCAGAGGGGTTTCCTGGCTGGCTGCCCCTGCCCGCTGCTGCTTCCTGGGTGCTCTCAGAACTTTGGGTGTAGCTCATGGTCTGGCCCGGCAGCCTGTGGCTGGGAGGTCGTGGCTGGGGGTCCCGATCATAGTTGATTGTGATAGGCGGAGAAGCTGCTATAGGCTGTTGGGTGCCACCCTGTTGCCCCCTATAACTGCCCACCTGCTTAACCTACTGATTTGCCTTTTGCAGCCACGCCTGCCGGGCCACATGCCCGACCCCCATGGGAGAGAAAAGCTGCCGCCTTTTTAGGAGCCAGCGCCACCTTGGGACAAAAAGGGAAACTGAATAATGCCATCACATGGAGGACGAGGCCCAGCCCGCCTGAGCCAGAGCCCAGAAGTGCCACCTCATCATAATTCAAGTGTTCTTCCATACAGCGTTGCCCCCACAACCACGCCGGACGTGCCCCCTCTCCACCTTTTCCAGACGACTTCTTAGAAGAGATTTCATTTATTTGTACATCTTTTGCACTTTCCTATTGAAGACTTGAACACGTTTGTCTTGATAAAAGTTGGATGACGTATGGAAGATTCGAACCTGCAGCACTGACATCTCTTTACCGATGGGTTCCAGACCCAAGGTAGCCCTGGCACTGCCCTGTGGACTCGGCCCAGCTGGGGAGGACACGGCGCCCGGTGCCCTGGGAGCCCTCCGCGTCCCCTGCCTGTCCTGTCTGCACCTGTGTGACTGCCCCCTCTGCTTCAGCCCCCTGCCCGATTGGAGCCTCCCAACACCAGAGAGGGCAGGCTTGGGGAGCCCCTGTCCAGCCCAGTGGTGAGACCCTGGCTGACATTTCCCCTCCTTCCTACCAAGGCTGGAGGCTGCCAGGTGTTTGCTCTCTCCTTGCGGGGAGGAGGATCCTCTGCCAGCAGGTGTCTGTCCCTGGCCCAGCGTGTCTTGAAGGCCCTGAACTCTGTTACCAGTGGGGGGCCTGTGGCCCCGGCTCTTCGTGGCGGGCAGAAGCGTGTGATCCCAGGAGGGTGGGCTGGGGAGGACCAGTGCTTGCCTCGGAGCCACTGCTGCATTTGGGGGTTTGCCTTTTGCCAGAGGTGTGGTTAAGGGCAGTGATAGCTGGCGCCCCAGCAAGGAGGGTCATGGGCCCTGAGCTGGCCCAGGAGACCCTGGCCCTGCCGTGTGCCCTGGGATGCCTGCCCCGCCCACCTCCACGGGTGGAACCAGGCTGCCCCTGGGGGCCTGGACTTGTCCCATTCCCCTGTCCCTGGAAAGGCCCTCCCGGGGCCTTCCTGCCTGAGGCTGCAGTCTTGGAGGGCGTGGGGAGAGCTCTGCCTGAGGGGGACCGGACCCAGTGCCCTCTGCAGACTCCTCCCAGCTGCAGCACCAGGGGCTTGCTGCCTTGTCTCCTGCCAGGAGCGCTCTGGAGTCCCCAAACCATCTTCCCACATGGGGGTTGTTGGAATCCTACCCACTCCCCCGGCCCCTGCCCCTCCAAGTTGGGGACGGAGATGGGGAGCAGGTCAGGCCCTCCCTAGGCCTGTCTGTGTCTGATCCTCCTCCCAGCCCCAGGTCCACCTGGAAGGCATTTCTGAGTCTTGAACTGAGACCTTCCCAGGGAAGGTGCCTTGGGTGCAGAATCCTGGGAGTGTTAGGAAAGGGCTCCGTGAAAAACCCAGCTGGGTCTGGGGTGGAGGTGCCCACAGGGGCTGGGGCTCAGCTCTCTGCAGAGGGCCTGCCTGGGACTTAGTGGGCCAGGGCTGGGTCAGGATTCACCGGCTTGTGTTGCAGACACTGGAGTGATTGCCTGGCCCTCGCTAAGCCCCAGATGCTTCACTCATAATGAGGCTCTCTCTGAACCCCGGAGGGCGGGACCCGTGAGCCCTTCATCTTGGCGCACTCCCACACTCCAGTCTGGATCCAGGTCTGGAAGGCCAGGCTGACCCTGACACTGCAGGTGGGCGTAGTGGGGAGCACCCTGGAGTGGAGATGATCGTCAGCGGGCTCACATGTGGTTTATCCACACGCGTGTTGTGTGCTCTGCAGTGCCTCCCGGCAAAGGCTCCTGGCTCGGGTCACAGGCGAGGTGACCTGCCATAAGCTCACTCCTGTGCCCTCATCCCCAACCAAGCAGTGACCAGCACTGGGGTTGGCTGTCACTGGGAGCAGTGCCCACCTTCCTTGGCCCACAGCAGATAGGTCCCGAGCAGCAGGACTGGAGACCTGTGGCGGTCAGGGTAGGGGTCTGTGTCTCCACCCCAAGGGCTGATGGTCCCTCCCCTGGGAGCCCCTCCTTCCAGGCAGCCTTGCTGTGTCCCTTCCTCTCTGCCTCCCTCCCAGGCCTCGCCAGGGCTCCCTTCTCCTCTGCCTGGTTAGACTCGGGCACCCAGGAAAGCCTGGTCAGAGCGCCTTCGGGCCTGGGCCCCTTGCACTGCCTGGTCCAGAAGGGCCACGTGGTGTTCTCCGTGGCCGGCACCCCGGAGCCCGGGAGGGGTGAGCTGCTGAGTCACAGCGGGTTTGGGGCTGACCAGTTTGGGAGAGGAGAAAAGATCTGAGAGTGTCTTCTTGGTTGTCAGTCATCTCTGCCGAAAGTGGTGATGGTGGCTTCCGTGGTTGGCATCTTCTGGCTGGGTTTGGTTTTTGCTGCTGGTGGAATCGGGGTCCTCAGGCATGAGCATGAGCCCAAAGTACCAGTCTGCGATTGGAGATTTGCAGCCACTTTATTTAAGCCAGTGCTGAGTAGGGCTTCTGCAGAGCCACATTTGAGCCAAGGTCTTGGAAGGCATTGCCCCATGGGCTCAGGTTACTCGGGGTGGAGTGCGCGCGTCTACAGGACCCTCACATACATGCCTGAGGCAGAAGCAGCATCCCCCGTGAAAGCCACCTTCTGAAGCTCCTGTGTTTTCTGCCAACTTGGCTTCTCCCAGGGGCAGGCCGGACTTTCCCTGCCCCCTATGATTGAAATCCCCCTGCTTTCGGGGGGGCGGCCTTCCCAGAGTTCCCCGGGTGCTCCCCTGCCCAAGTCAGGAGCTGACCAAGCCTTGGCCCCGTGACACCTGCAGCCCTCACTCTTGTCATCCAGGACACTTGAGGGCCCAAGGAGGTGGAGCGGAGAGTGGGCCTGGGGACGTGGGAGCTGGAAGCCAGGTGGAGCTGGTCAAGTGTTGGTCACTTGGAGCCTCCAGTGTGCGTCGGGGTCCGTGGGCAGGGGACAGGGCATGGGTGCGGGCCGAGGCTGGCGTGCCTCTCTGCTCTCGCTGTATTGGTGACCTGGCCTCGGCCCTCCCCCGGTCTCTCCTGTGCACGGCCCAGCCTGGGTCTCGGAAGCTGCTTCCTGGCCCGATTTCTATGTCTGGAAGTTTACAGGTTGTGGTGCATCAGCCCAAACTCACTGGCGTTGTGTTTTGTTTTGTTTTTTTTTCTTTAATTTTCAGATTTTTTTTAACAAAGTATTTTTTTAGGTGTGATAACCCAGAAAGGGCCCGTTGGGTGTGTGTGTGTGTCCTGAACTCCTCGAGCAGAGACTGGAGCCCAAGCACCCTTGGAGACAAGTCCCACTGGCCCGTGGGGTCTGAGTTCAGGGGTGTGAAGGGCGCAGACCCCACCGGCCCAGGCCCAGCTAAGAGGGGGCTGATCCCTTTCCCCAGGCACAGCCCCGGGCTGGCAAAGGGAGGGTCCTGGATTGGGTGCAGGGCGTGCCAGGAGTCCCAGCCAGGGTGGCCCCGGCGGGGGCGGGTCGAGCTTTGGAAGCCAGGCTCCCCTGTGAACCGTGGCTTGTCTGGTCTTCGCCCACGGGGGCTGGACAGAGGCTGTAGCCGACACAATCACCTTTTCTTTGTACTCTGTGTGTATGTTTTGGTTTTCTGTGTTTTAATAAATCCTTTGGGAAAGGATTTAATCAGAGGTTTTTTTTTTTTTTCTTTTTTAAGATTCAAGATTTAGAATGGGGTGGGGGCTGGGGCCAGGGAAGAGTGGTGGGGGGTGGGGGCGTGTCCGGAAGCCTTCTCTTGCCTGGGATGGTCATTTCATGGGTGCAGGGGCTCACTGGGAAGGGGGGGAGCACGAAACAGGGGTGTGCTAGAGTGGGGCTCCTTTCACCTGTACCCCAAACACATGCCATGAGAGCTTCTCCAGGCCTTGACCTCTGTCCTTGTGAGAGCAGCAGCCAGCCAGGTCCCCAGAGGGACAGCAGCCTCCCAGCCAGCAGCTTTGGGCCCTCAGAGTCGGGGAAAGAGAATGTGTGTGTTGGGGGCGGCAGGGGAGGCACTGGGCCCCTGGGCTGAATCCCTTGGGAGAGATGGGGGGGGCCAGGTCTTCTGACCACCTCGTCCCCAGTCCCTGTCCCCGATCTCTCTCCACAGGCCCTTTCCAACCCACCTGCCTTTGGCTGCAGGCTCGGTTTGGGGGACACCCCAGCCCCTGCTGCTGGCAGCCTTTTCCTCCCCTCCCGTGTGGCCCTGGCCCAGCCCTGACCCCGAGGAAATGAGAGGGGCACAAAGGCGCAGACCGATGGGTTTGGGCTTTATTTTGTCATTCCATAAATACGGTGGCTGTGTCGTGATCTGAGTCTCGTTTGGAAGCTCGAGGCATAGGACAGTCTCTGCCTAGGTAGGGAATGCAGTTAGCTGAGGAACCACGGTCGGTTTTAAAAAAAAGACGGGGGGCGGGGACGGAAAAAGCACATTATTTACATGACTGGACAAGGACAGAAGATGGCAGGAAGCCCGTCACTCCTCGGGACCGCAAGGCTGAGTGGGAAACAGTGGGGGCTCCACAGCACCCAGCAGGGCCAGCGCCCTCCCTTCTAGACCCCGATTGCCCTTGGTCTTCTGTTCTTTCTCGGATGGTCCCACCTAACACCCCCCTCCCGAGGGGGGACCTGGCCCCAGGAGGCAGAACCCCTCACATCCTCCCTGTAGATGGGCGTGGAGCAAACAGGACATCCAGGAACCAGGTTGTGGAAAGAGCTTCGCCAGAGGCTGCCTGCATCCTGGCACTGGGCTCTTGGGCCTCACCAGGGGCCTGGCCTCTGTTTGGCAAACCCACAGTGGGGGCTCAGCTGCCCCAGGTGTGGCTTGCGTTAAGCAGCAGTGCCCACCCCGGGCACCACCTCACGCGCCGGTCCCTCTTCCAACAGTGGGTGGGGCTGGGGTGGCAGTAGGGATGGGGCCAGCCACCCTCCCTGATGGCGAAGGTGGGTCACCTGCCCTCTGGCACTATTGGCCACTGCAGGACCCTGTCCTAGAAGGAAGCAGGCGACCCCCACCTGGGCCCGGGGCCATAGGCTGGGACCTCCGTTGGGAAGGGACTTCCCCGCCCCACACTCAGAGGGCTGCTGCTGGTGAAGTGGGCAGCAGGACTGGGTGGAGTCCCCCGGGACTTGGTCTACGAGGGGCAAGGGTTCTAGATGCCAGAGGCAGCATGAAGGTGGGCCAGGAACAGCAGAAGCTGCATCCCTCTCCTTCCTCACCCCAGCCTCTCCCTGCTGGCCTTTCTGACTTACACACGTTTCCCAGGCCTTGGCCTGTCCAGGACTGGACAGCAGGCTCCTGCTGGACAGCAGGGTGGAGCCTTCTGGAATAGTGGCTCCTCCAAGAGCAAAGTGGGAACGGAGGTGCTCGTGCTGAGGGTGTGCCTTGGGGGCAGGAGACATAGGCTTCCCTATGGAGCTAGCTGGCGAGGGGTGGGGGTGGCTTAAGTGGAGCCCTGCCCTGCGCGGTCAGCAAAGCCTGGGTACTGCTCAGGACACAGGCCTGGGCCTGCAGGTGGCACCCCCGCACCTGCAGATTTCCTGGCATCCCCAGCCCTCTGGCCCAAGCTGCACAGGGGTGTCACTCTGGCCTGGCCTGCCCTCTCTCCCCTCTCCCCAGTCTGTTCCAGGTGTCGGGCAGTGGGAGGGGCCAACAAGCCCCGGCCATCTTTCCAGGGAGAGGTTCCCTGAGGTCTTTTCCTACATTGTGGGGGCTGCCGTGGGGGTGCAGCACCCCAGTCCTGGGCACAGAAAACCCCAAGGACCCTTTCGTACTGAAAGGGTCCAAGCATGCTCTCTGCAAAACTCCAGCCCACCACCTCAGTGCAGAATAGCAGCCTGGGCTGGAGGGTGGCTTTAGAGAAAGTCTACAGGGGCCAAGAAGAGTGCGTCCTCGAGCACAGGGCTGGCCTTTGCTGCCACTTGCCACGGTGTGGCCAGCAGCCACGGTGCAGCTAGGAGCACATGACCATAGGGCCTTCTGAGGCCAGGACAGGGGTGGCCGGACAGAAGGGCCTGCCCCACTGGGACCCCTCCCATGTGCTCCGGGCATCACTGGTGTGAGGGCTCATCATTGGTGTGTAGGAGGAAGACGGTGGGATGCTGAGCTAGAAATCACAGCCCTACACTTTTTGTGGCTCCCAAATTGTAGAGCCGATCCCCCTGGGGTCCCTGCCCCTGCCAGCGAGGGTGGGGGGGGGTGGGGGTCAAGGGCCAGCTCGAGCTTGGTAGGCATGGCCCCCGCCGGGACCCAGTGGGACAGGTTAGAGCAGAGAAGGATGGGGGAGGAATCTGGGTCAGGCCCAGATTCCTGGAGCCCTTGGAAAGTGGGAGGTGGAGGAAGACCCCCAGTGGGGAGGCCCCTGCCCCAGCGACCAAGGCCCTGGCAGAAGGGACCCCTCGATGGGCCAGACCCCTTTTCCCTCTCCCCTTACACGGGGTAGGGATTCTCAGCAGAGGAGAGGCAGCCCTGCCTGCCCCAAGAACCCACCCAGGCTTTGGCCCGGCCTTGACTTGGGGAATCTTGGGAATCTTCGGGCCTTGACTTTGGGAATCTTGGCTGTGGCTGGGAGAAAGCTGGGTGGTCTTGGAGGATGAGCAGAGGTGACAGGCTTGGGTGGGGCCGCTCGAACGTCCTTCCTAACCAGTGCCGTCCCGGGCACAGATTGGACTTCGACGTTGTCCGGCGAAGCAGTGGGTGGTGTCTGGCAGCGACTGGGAGATCGTTTCCCGATGACGTCACAGTGTGGTGTTTTCTCTTGGATGCAAACCACACTCTTCACTTGGCTTCAGAACAGCTTAAGCGAGCGAACAGAGACTAGGAGGGAATGGCAAGTGTCCGAGCAGGCGGGCGGGGGCGGCTTAGGATCTGTAGTCCTTTTTGCTGTAGGGTTTATTGCCCAAAATACTATCAATCTCGTGGATAATGGAAGACGACAGTTTTGGAAGGACCTGCGTGCAAGAACAAGAACGAATCAGAATCCCACCAAAAAGACGGGCCTGACCTGGGGAGGAGGGGTGTGAGGCTCTTCCAGATGCTCGACTGGCCAGGCCTGGGTTACCCCATCACACCTGGGCTCCATCTGAGGCAGATGGAGGCCACGCTGCCTTTGTATTCCAGAAGGTCTGGGGCAGAGAGGAAGCATGCCTGGGCCTGTGCGCTCCCCCTCAAATGTCAAGGTGCCCTAGAACCTTCCTGAAGGGTGGTGGCAGCAGTGACATAAAATGCAAACTCCAGGCCAAGTACTGGACTTCCATGTCCCCGACAGCTCTTTCCAGCTGTGCCTGCCTCAGCTAACAGCACCACTACCCTTCCGGGTGATACACCCGGGGCCTGACTTCCACCTCGCTCTCTCACCCCCACATCCAGTTTGTCAGCTAGTCCCGTGGGCCCCCACCTTCCCAAACATCCAGGATCCAACCACCACTCCCGTCTCAGACCCGCACCTGCCACTTCCCATCAGGGCTCTCTGCTTCGACTTTTGCTTCCCAGAGCCTCCCCGACGGAGCAGCCAGAGAGCAGGCTCCCTTTCCAGGCTGAGCTGCAGCTCGCCCTCCTCTGCCCACAATTTTGCCACGGCTCCCATCTCACTCAGAAGTCCTTGGAGGTGTGCCGTGCCTCTCGGGATCTGCCCCTCTGCTCCAGGCCTTCTTAGGCCTTTGCATCAACTGTTCCTGCTGATGGAAGGTTCTTCCCGCAGGCATTTGCATGCCTTACTCCGAATCTTTTCAAGACTGCTCAAGCACCACCTTCTCAACAAGCCCAGCTGACAGGCCCCCGGAACCTGGGTCTGCAGCGCCACCGTCCCTGGCCCCAGTTCCCATCCCCTCCCCTTACCTCTGGCTTCTCTCCTACGGCGCTCATCCACCCTGACACGCATTTTTTTTTTTTTTTTTAGATGGAGTCTCGCTCTGTCACCCAGACTGGAGGGCAGTGGTACGATCTCAGCTCACTGCAAGCTCCGCCTCCCGGGTTCACACCATTCTCCTGCCTCAGCCTCCCGAGTAGCTGGGACTACAGGCGCCCGCCACCTCGCCTGGCTAGTTTTTTGTATTTTTTTAGTAGAGACGGGGTTTCACCGTGTTAGCCAGGATAGTCTCGATCTCCTGACCTCGTGATTCGCCTGCCTCGGCCTCCCAAAGTGCTGGGATTACAGGCGTGAGCCACCGCGCCCGGCCTGCCCCAACACACATTCTAACCTCCTTGTTTCGTGCAGTTAGTGTTCATGTCTGTTCCTGCTGGAAAGCAGGCTCTCCAGGAGCAGAACTCTGATGGGTCCTGGACGCATCCTGAGCGCCTAGAACAGAGCCTGGCATGCAGGACGAGCCTGGGAGGATGCACTGGACAGGGCTCGGGCTGGGATGGGCGCTCTGCCCAGCAAGGCCTCTCACACTCACCTGTATTGCCCCAATGTTCTCCATGAGCTGGTCCGTGTTGGAGGCCCCCAGGAGCACGGAGCTGACTCCCTCATTCCTCAGGCACCAGGCTGTGGCGGTGAGACCCAAGGTGAGGGAGAAACACACACCCCAGGGGCCCCTGATGGTTCCGCCTGACTGGGCCGAGAGACCCAGCATCTTGGTCTGGGGGGCTGGGGGTGCCTAAGAAGCCCTGCAGTGCTGGGCACGGGCTTTGCCTAAGAGGAGGCTGGAGGTGGCACGGGGGAGCCCGCTGCTCCCTGATGGAGAGGTGGCCCAAGTGCTCAGCGCTCCCCGTCCTCTTCCCATGACAGGGGGAGCCCCATTACCCATGGCTGGCAGATGGAGGGGATGGCCCAGGTCCTCAGGGACTCCTGACATCCCCCTAGAGGCATGGGGTCCCAACCATGCCCCTTAGAGCCCTATTACCTGAGGCTGGCTGAGGGATGATGTCCAGGGATCCCCTCCCTCTCTCCCCAGGGACACTGGCCTCATGGCAACCTCGCCCTGTTACCTATGGCCACCTGGGGTAGGTTCTGCCCAGGGACACTGGCCCCATGGTGACCCCATCCTGTTACCTATGGCCAGCTGGAGCAGGTTCTCCCCAGGGACACTGGCCTCATGGCAACCTCGCCCTGTTACCTACGGCCAGCTGAGGGAGGTTCTCCCCAGGGACACTGGCCCCATGGTGACCCCACCCTGTTACCTATGGCCAGCTGGGGCAGGGTGCAGCCCAGGCGCTCGGCGATGGCCTGCAGCTCCTTCAGCTTGGCTTGCTGGCGCCGGCCCTCCTCACTCAGGATCTTGTCCTTCAGCCACTGGTAGCCCTGGTTGCGGGGGAGGGGAGCGGCACAGCTACAGATGAGAGCAGGTCACCTGGACCCCCATGTGCAGCGGGCCGATGGGCTCATTCCTTCTGGACCCTTCTCCCTCATAGGGGCTCTTCTCATCTTGAAGCCAGGGCAGTGCCCCTGCCCCAGGTTTCTCAAGTAGGGGAGAGTGGGCAGTGGGCCAGGCATGGGCTGGTGGATGAGCGGGGCCTGTCCAGGCTCTGAAGTGCAAAGACTGTGGTGCTGGCCCAACCCAAGTCAGGACATGGAGGCGAGGTGCCGGCCTTCCTTCTCTCAGGGCACTTGGCAGCCTGGGGTCTTGGCTGCCACCTGCAGCCCAGAAGAACCTCCTGGCCCTACGGGAGTGCTCTCTCCCCTGGCCATCGCTGCAGAGGATTGCAGGGCCTCCTGGAGGGGTGCCCTGACCTTGCCGTGGGATGGGAGGAGTGCAGGGCCAGGGCTGTGGGCCCCAGTGCTGAGACTGCTGGCTGGGCAGACTTTCTTGGCCTGCTCCTTGTTCCCCAGATCCTGCAGTTTGGGGACCCTCCTGAGAACCCCCTTGGAGGTTGTGTGGTGGGGAGGGGCGCCTGTCCCAGGGTCACCTCCATGTGGCTCTGCAGCCCCCATCCTGGAGCCCAGGCCCAGGGTTCTCAGTGGTGGTGGAATTCTGAACGCTGGGCTGTGGTGGGGGGCAGAGGTGGGGGGATGTGAAAGGGCCTTTCCACCTGGGCCTGTGCCACAGGCTGGGCAGCCCTTCTACACATGGGGTCAGGCTAGAAGGGGCTCCATGTTCTCATGCCAAGGAGCCCGCCCCCCGCAGACCGAGGTGGGAGCAGCTGTGGCCCCTGGAACCCCCGCCCAGCACCAAAGCAGCCGGCCCAAAGGTCCCACCCCTCTAAAATGCCTGTCCCTGCTCGTCCCTCCCCCCAGGCTGTCCCTTCACCTTCAAAGAGGCTCTTGAGTAGGGTGGGATGCCACTGTCGTACTTGCCGGAAACAATGCCACAGGCCAGAGGCGACCAGGTCATGGCGCCCACTCCTGAAGAGGAAAAGCAGGTGGAGTCAAGTCCTGGGCCCAAGAGGGGTGGGGGAGGGGCAAGGGGCCCGAGGGTGCCCACCTATCTTGTGGAACAGCTCCGGCAGCTGCACCTCCACCTTCTCGCGCTGGAACATGTGGTACTCAGCCTGCTCGCAGATGGGCGGCGTCAGGTTGAACTGCCGGGCCACCGAGTAGGCCTCCTGGGAAGGCAGAAAGGGGCCCCGAAGGCCTTGCCCGTGAGCAGGTGGGGGGTGCCGGGCAGCCAGGGAGAGGGCACCAAGGCGTCCCCGGAGCAGGCGGGCCCAGCAGCTGCAGCCCGGGCTTCCCACCGCTCACACTCATAGCTTCCCTGGGAGCCATCAAGGCCCTGGTGAGCTGGGAAAAGGGGGTGGGTGGTGGGTCCCCCAGGCCAGAGGGTCCCCAGGCTCTGAACCACAGTTATGAGCACCCCAGGCTCTGAACCACACAGCCTGGACATTAATCTTGGCCCAAGCTGTGTGACCTTGGCACGTTACTGAACCTCTCTGTGCCGCAGCGTCCACATCTGAAAAATGGGCTGCCTGCGGCACTCACCTGGTAAAGGCACTGTGAGGATTGCATGTGAGAGGGTCCCTGTGAAACCCTTGAACCTGACAGCACTGGGCACGTCCTAGGAGCCCAGTGGAAATGGCTGATGGCGTTATCACCCCGGAGTGCTTGCTGAGCTCCAGGGCATCTGCTAGGAGCTTCACACTGGCTCTTTCAGGGATTCCTCAGAATGGCCCCATGAGGACTTGCCTAGCAGGCGTGTTCTACAGGTGGGTAAACAAGCTCAGAGAGGTTAAGCCATTTGTCCAGGGCCACACAGCACTGGGATCCATGCGGAATCGCCGTCTGCAAGGCCTGCAGACATAACACCATCCTGTCCCTCCCTTAGCACCCAGGCATCGGTGCAGTTGGGACCAAAGGCACAGACCCTGCCAGAGCCTTGGGGTCTCCATATGCAGCCTGTGCCGGGAGCCTGTGCCTGGACACACACGCCTCGCAGCCGCCATACCATGATCTCCATGGAGCTCCAGCGTGACGTGCCCCAGTACATGGCCATCCCCTGGTTGATGACGTGGGTCATGGCGCGAACCGTCTCTGTCGTGAGAGAAGGGGAAACCGCAGGTGGGGGGCGGCCGGGGCTCAGGGCCAGCCTCGGGACATTCTGCGAATACAGGCGGGACGCTGGGAGGAGGGACAGGGGCTGCGAAGATGTCTTGCAAGCAGTGTACTTCCTGGCTCCGAAGTTGGGGGTGGGAGGGGTGTTTTGGGATGAGAGAGAAAAGTGAACCACAATCCTAGAAGATTGTGAAAACAATTTCCCCGACTGGTTACAGGCCTATGGAAATGCTGAAAAATGGGTTATGGATGGACCGTGATGTTTCTATGGCAGATTAGAGGGGACATCAAAGAATGTGGCTCTGGCTCCGGACTCTAGAACTGGGGGTTCTCTGGTCTGGGGAAGATTTGAGGGCCCTGATCACTCAGGAAGGACCAGGTGAATGCATGAAAGTTACAGTCAGATTGGCGGCAGGAGGGACACGTGTTTTTGCGTTTCTGGTCTCCTACTTCGGGCTCTTCCAAAGTCTCATTGGAACAGAGAGTGGGCTGGATAAAGAGATGTGGCAGGACCTGGGACACTGTATGGTCCCAGAGAATAGGGCTTCGGGGCTGAGCTCATGTTTCCTCTCATGTCCAGGAGACTGAGAAGTGGGCGTAGAAAGCCTTGTGAGACCACGGCCCAGGTTCTCAAACCAGCCCAGCACCAGGCCAGAGTCCCAACCCGCCTGTTCCCCGGCAAGGGGTGGTCCCAGGGCCACAGGGGTCTGGGTGCTCCTCCTGTAAGGGGCCCAGGCCTGAAGTAGGACAGTTTTGAGGCTCCACAAGGCAACGACCTGAATCATGGATGGCAGAGACTCCTAAGGCCCTGAGGACTAAATCGCAGACTCCACGCTGGCCTTCTAAAGAAGAGAGGAAGGACCCTCACCCCAGCGACAGCGGATTCTTCCCAGTATTCGAAAATGTTTTTGGGACATAACCATCTGCCAGTTGTAGCTCCCTCTCAGCCTCATGGGGATGTTGTGATGTTAAAAACAGAACTTGGCCTCAAAATTTCAAATTTCAGAAGCCTCTTAGCTTTGCCGGGCGAGGGACTATGGCGCTAGGCTTCTCACGGGTCGGATACAGTGCTTGCAAGTTCGACCGCCAAAGGCAGTGTGGGAGTGAGTGGGAGTGCAAGTGTTTCTAAAAACAGCAACGACGTTGACCCTGGAAAAGCCCCGGCTCTCCCTAAGTGCCTTTGTCCTTTGCCCATGTTGCGTGGAAGCTGAGGTCCTGAAAATGCTGGGAGTGGGGCCGTCGGGAAGGAAGGAAGGACGGAACATGCTGGGTTTGTTCTGCAGGCTCCACCTCAGAATGGCAACGAGGCCACAAAGTGGCAGCGCTGGCTTCCCATCCCCTTCTGCTTTGGGGGTCGCTCCCTGAGCACCCCTTTATTGAGGTCCACCCTGAGCAGAACCTGGGGCCTCCTGAAGGCTAGAGCTGAGGCCACTGGGGTTTCTGGAGCGGTGGTCTCGGCAGACTCACCCAGGACCCCTGGCAAACCCAGGCCCAGCCCTGCTCTCTGCTTCCTTCCAAGGTCAGAGGTTGTGGCTCCTGGGAATCCTCTCCGTCCCCTCCTGGGGGTGAGATCTGGGAGGGAGTCTGAACTCTCCGGGCCACCTCCCTGGGCCACCTGCTTTAACTGCCAACACCGACAGACCCGCAGGAAGTGCCTGGGTGGGAAGGTTTCAGGAGAACCCAGAGGGTCCCAGGAGAATCTCTGACTACATCCTACCCAGGTCCGGGTCCTGGCCTGGCCGGCCTTGTGGTTTTTTAGAAACACTCTCGGGGTACCTGTGAACATGCAGCATCAGTACCCGGTTCTTTTCAGCCAAGGCTTAGGTCCACATGCTAGACATTGCTAGACAGAGGGAAGCCAAGGCCCCACGGCCAGCCCCGTTCCCTCGCTCTCCCTTCCCGGCAGCTATCTCAGGTTCCCAAGGTCCCAGCCAGTGAAACCGCAGGCTGCCCTGCAGCGCCCCTTCCATGCAACGATGGGGAGATGGGGCTGATGGGGCAGGAGTCTCTGGCTGTCCTGAGGCAAAGGCCTTAGGAAAAGGCCCCTGGGCTCCCTGGAGGATCTGGGCAGAAGCAGGCTGGACAGGGCGCCCACACGAGGGAGCACCCTGCGCTTGTGCCCAAGCATGGTATCAGTGGCCCCAGACCCAGGGACAATTAGGGGACAACTGTCCTTCACCTCAATATTTAATGCGGTTGAACAGAAGTAGGAGGACTGAATCCTTCTAGCTGCTGCCAAAACCCACAGCATCTCCTGCCGCATCACAAACAATACATGGGGGGTCAGGTGGCAGCACCAGTTGGCAGATGGGGGCCCAGGCCCAGGGAGACCGACGCCTGCCCTTGGGGTGGGTTCCTGGGGCCCTTAGCTGTGGGGAGGGCAGAGAGACCATGCGTGGCCAGAGGCCGCCCCCTGGTTTCAGCTCCTGTGGTTATTCTTTCAGGAGGAAAATGACTCCATGTTGATGGAGAGGTTTGGCCTCCTGGTGAGAGGGGACACGCAACCAGCATGCTGTCCGAGGAGCAGCGTGCTGTGGACAGGGCAGCGTGCCAAGCCAGGTGATCTCTGCCTCCAGGAGAGACAGGAGCTTGGCAAACACAAACTATGGAGGAGCTAAGACTCGGTGGAGGGCTGCGTGTTCTGGGGTCCCTGACGGCTTTGTTCCTTGTGGAAACCTGGTCTTCCCCAACTCTTCCCATGGCACCATCCAGGGTCAAGGCTCCAGGTGGGGATCACAGCATCAGATCAAGAGGACCCCCGGCCGCCGCAGAGCTCAGCAGTGCAAGCCCAGGGGTGGGGGCCATGCACGGGAGGAAGGAGGAACGAGGGGACGGGGGGCGGGGGCTGGGGGCGAGGGGCTCCAACACCACTTTGCTTTTCCTTCACTTGCAAGGTGTTCTCATAGGGCGCTCTTTCCCCTCTTTATGCATTTTATGGAGAAGTTTGTCATGGGGTGAAAGAATCATGTAAATAAAAATACTGTCTCATAAAATGCAGCTTGGACGCAGAAGTCAATAGTCAGGCTGGGGGCACTGTGTACCTTCTATGATGAATGTCCTTGACTTGGAGGAACTAAATGGGTCCCCTGGTGATAAAAGAAAGATTTAAAGAGACCAGAGTTGATAGCTGGGAGCACTGAGAGGAGTGGCACGACGAAGGCACAGCGGGGAGGCACAAATCACCGCGCAGAACACGCGTTTAGTTAAAAAGGAAAAAATATAACAACACACGCACGTGCGTGCTGTATATGAACAAATAAACAAAATAACTGGAACACAACTTAATTTTCAAGTCCCTGAAGCAGCAAAGCACACATGGAAAGACACCTGTAGCAGGAGGATGGGCGAGTGGAGGGGCTGAGATCTCAGGAGTAGAAAGAATAAAAAACGCCAAAGTAACCAAAACCGATTTTCAAAGTGCTGAACGTTTCTTCTCCTCTATGTAGTAATTTATTCCCCAGAGCACAAAAGACCCCCCAAGCTTCCCAATGGATCGTGATTGGAGAGAACACCACAGTCAGAGTCCCCACACTGCAGCTTCACTTAGCTGCAAAATAGCCGCAGAGGGGAGGGGACAGTTCCACTGTGGCTCTGACTGGGAGGGCAGATCGGCCTGGGTCCAAAGTGAGGACAGGGACTCAGCCTGGAGGTGCCGGGTGCACTTGGCTGGGGGTCGGCAGCCAGAGGCTGAGCTCACCCCTACTGAGGGGAGGCCTGCCCCCTTGTCCCCCACCCTGGACCTGGCCTCCTCTCACGGCTCACCCGGGTGCCCAGCAGGACCCATGCTGGTGGTCTCTACAACCTCAGATTCAGACCCTTCGGACACCACCCAGGCCTGACCGGTGGCGCTGCCGCAGACCACTTACCTTCCATCGGGGTGTTGGGGTCTGGGCGGTTGGCAAATACCACGTCCACATACTCCAGCTGCAGTCGCTCCAGAGAAGCTTTCAGACCTGGGGGAGGACCGGGTGGGGGCATCACTGCTGTGGCTGCATCTCCACAGGCACCTGGGCCTGTCCATGCCCGGCTTGGGGAACAAGAGATGGCTAAGAGGCCCCTGGCATCTGGAAGCTTGCAGAAGCTGATGGAGGTTGTGAAATGCTACGGCAGAGGTGGGGGCACATCCCACAGGGAGTGGGGGGAGTCTTCCCTTCAGGAGGACGTCGGGGGACCACAGGCCACATGTCCTTGACTAAATGAAGGGGAAGCGCCTCCTTCCCCAGACAACATGCCCTCCTCTGAGGTCACTCTGTGTTACAACAGGGGGATCACGATATCCATCACACGTGGAGGGACGGTTACACTGGCTGCCCATCCCATCAAAAGCAATACTGTCTGTGGCCAGGCATGGTGGCCCATGCCTGTAATCCCAGCACTCTGGGGGGCCAAGGCAGGTAGATCACTTGAGGTCAGGAGTTCGAGACCAGCCTGACCAACATAGTGAAACCCTGTCTCTACTAAAAATACAAAAAAAAAAAAAAAAAAAAAAAAATTAGCAGGCGTCAAGTAGTGGGCACCTGTAATCCCAGGTATTCAGGAGGCTGAGGCAGGAGAATCGCTTGAACCCAGGAGGCGGAGGTTGCAGTAGGCCAAGATCGTGTCACTGCACTCCAGCCTGAGCCTTAAGAGAGCAAAACTCCATCTCAAAAACAAAAACAAAAACAATGGCAATAGTGTCAAGTACGCACTCCAGCCTGGGCGACAAGAGCAAAACTCCATCTCAAAAACAAAAACAAAAACAATGGCAATAGTGTCTAAAATGCCCAAGCCACCCGCTCGTGCTTAGAGCAGCTCAGGACACGCCGCTGGCAGAGTGAAACACTGGGTTGGGGTGGGCAGGACGGGGAGTGGGTGGCTGGCCCCCAGGTGATTTTCAATGGAATGATCTATTACCTTGAAGAAAATGAACACAGATAGGAAAGGCATGAAGACAATAAAAATATAGCAAGAGCCAGATACCCCGGTGCTTTGCTCTGGTGCCCATGAATGCTGAGCCCCAGGCTGTGTGGCATGCACCTTCTCCTGGGTGCTGTGGGCATCCCAGCCACCCTCGCCGGGTGCACTCTTACTGTCCCTGTTGCACAGATTCTGTGGCAGAGGCGTGGGGCAGGGTGCTCCTTGCTGAAGACCCACTCAGCCCGTGTGGGGTCGAACCCGGATTGAAACCCAGGCTGGTCTGTGGTCTGTGCTCAGCCACCGGGTGCCCTTGTTTCCTGCAGGGTCCCCCTGTGCTGCCCGGGTGGAAGGAGAGGGTCAGGCCAGAGCACCGGGTGCCCTGGGATGGGGCCCTTGGTTGGGTAACTTGGGGGGTCAGGCTCTGTGCTGCTTTCACTTTGGCCTCCGAGGACAATCCCACAGGTGTCGGGGCCCTGAGGTGCCTGAGTGCGTCCTCACCTTCGATTATGTGCTTCCTGGACAGGCCCCGCTCCGTTTCTGCCCTGGAAAACAGGCCGACCATGTGTGATGTTGCCAGCGGTTTCGGCACCCTGGCCCCTCCCAGGAAACGTTTATGATGCAATGTTAGGCGCAAAAACGGGGTCAGCAAATGCCGTGTGGGGTTGGATTCCACTTTGGGGGTAGGTACCCAAGGCTGCAGGGCTGAACTCCCAGAGGCCCGGGGCAAGCCTGGTCACAGGGCTCAGAGGGGAGGCGGGCGGCAGCAGAGGAAAGGGGGCTTTTGGTTTTCAACCTAACCCGTGTGTTTCATTTGGACTTTTTATTTTTATTTTTTAAATTAAGAACAAATCAGGCTGGGCACAGTGGCTCATGCCTGTAATCCCAACACTTTGGGAGGCTAAGGCAGGAGGATCACTTGAGTCCAGGAGTTCAAGACCAGCCTAGGCAACATAGTGAGACCCCATATCTTATAAAAGGACAAATTAAGGCCAGGCGTGGTGGCTCATGCCTGCAGTCCTAGTGCTTTGGGAAGCTGAGGTGGGCAGATTACTTGAGCTCAGGAGTTTGAGACCAGCCTGGACAACATGATGAAACCCTATCTCTACAAAATATATATATATAAAAAAATTGCTGGGCATGGTGGCATGTGCCCGTAGAGCCAGCTACTTGAGGCAGGAGAGTCACTTGAACCAGGAGGCTGAGGCTGCAGTGAGCTGGGACTACGCCACTGTACTCCAGCCTAGGTGACGAAGTGAGACCCTGTCTCAAAAAAAAAAAAAAAGAAAAAGGACAAATTAGTCAGGTATGGTGGCACATGCCTGTAGGCTGAGGTGGGAAGAGCGCTCGAGTCCAGGAGTTTGAAGCTACAGTAAGCCGTGATCGTGCCACTGCATTCCAACCTGGACAACAAAGCGAGACCCTGTCTCAAAAAAATACATAAAAATAAATAAAAAATCAAAGAAAGAAAAAATGAATCATAGTTAGAATTCCTATGAGCCCAAGTGTGTCCAGCCCACAAACTACGGAGCTAGACACTTGGAGACCTGCACGAGTGACGACAGGCGGCCCAGGGAATTTGGAGTGGTTTGGGGGTTTGGGCAGTTCACAGATTTTCTGTGTTTTCCATAATTTTTATGATGTTACCATAGTGACCAGGAAAAAATAATCCATGTAAGTAAAAAGAAAAGTTAAGCGAGGTTTTTGTAAAAGGCAAACTTTTCTGGATTTGACATCCCTTAATAGGGACGGGCACCACACATAGCTGGTGGCTGCAGAAACGCCAGCTCTGCTACTGCTGGGGACGGGAAGCGGCACCGGGCCAGGGCCTGACCAGGACAGACCCCAACCACTCTCCTTTCTGAAGCAGGACTGTCCTCCCCCCACCCCAGGAGCCTTCTAGGTCAGGGGTCTCTGGGGAGCGTGGGACCGTGGCTGCTGGGCCAGGGCTGGAAGCATCGCCAGCTGTTGCACTTACTTTCCGCCCCAGAAGATCTTGGTGGTGATGACGAGGCTGGACCGCCTGCGGGAAAGCAGAGAAGGAAGAGATGTATGGGGCGCGGCCCCTGGGGGGTCCTTCACATTCGCGACGTCCTCATCTCTCACACAGAGGTCCTGAAAGCCCTCCCACCTGGGAGCCCAGGGCGTGAAATGGGCACTTCTCCATCATATGATGTGTACCACATGCCAAGCCGGGATGCGTGGGCTCCTCATGGAGCCAGGAGGCAGCCACCGAGGCAGTAACTGTGAGTCAGGCAGTGGGAGTTGGACAGTGGGGGGCCCAGTGTGACTGGAGCCCGGAGGAGATGCCTTCTGCCCAGGATGTGGGAGGGGGCCTGGCTCAGGGAATACGAGGGGTGCATGGATTTGGTCCAGGTAGAGGAAGCAGCAAGAGCCAAGGTGTGGGCCAGGGGGCAGGGGTGGGCTCTGGGGGGATCTGGCAGGAGTTGAGGATGGAAAGATGAGGGTGGAAGGCAGCCAGGGAAGCTCTCTACAACGTTCCCTACAGAATGGGATGCCTGTTGCAGAAAATCTGCGTGGGACTGCCCGGTCAGGGTAACTTGGGAGGCATCTAGGGAGGGAGGGGAGGCACAGGGAGCCCAAGTGTGGCCAGGCCAATGGGATTCTGGGTTTCAGTAGCTGAGGCAGAGAACTCTGAGGATTTGGGCTTGAGCAGCGCAAAGGGAAGTAATTCATTCTTCTGCTCTAAGTTCACATGAGACAAATGCCCACACGAATGGCTTTGTCCTGGTGGGATGGGGGATAATGATGGCCCCTCCCGGCCACATTTGACCTTGACCCCTCCCAGAGGAGGGAATACTCCCCACCCAGGGGGTGACAATGACCTGCTGGTGCCCCATGGCTGAGCTGCTTTCCCACCCGGGTCCCGGGCTGCTCAGGGAAGCAGCTCAGGAGGCTGGAGCAGGAGGCCTCCTTTGCCCCCGAAGCATCGGCCACAGAGCTCTGGCAGGGGCAGCGTCACCTCCAGGAAGAGAGACCACCCCACACCACCTCCATGCGCATTTGCCAAAGACATGATCAGGGGATTTGCTAATATGTGCAATTTCCTTTAATTACAGGGTGAGGAGGAATTTCTTTTGGGATTAGAGTTGCCAAAAAACAAATTTGATGGGGCAAGAGGAAGGGGTGTTAGGAATCCATGGGGGAGGGGGTGGGGGCTTCTCAACAAATGACACTGGGATTCTGAGTGGCACTGGGAGGGGAGGGAGGAGGGAGCCCAACTTTATAACTGCTTCTCATGTTTCTGAAAATAAAGAAACATTTATTAAGAAACAGGGCCCTGGGGCTTGTCAGCACCTTCAGATAAAGCTGTGTCCAGGGGTCTGGGGAGCCCCAACATGTAGGCAAATGCTCAGCCCGATTGGTCCCAAGGTGGGTGAGGACCTTGGCCTGGGAAAGGCCCACAGGCTTCTGGGAGAGAAGGGTGGATGGCCCTCGATCTGTGACCTTTGGGCCCCACCACACCCAGGGACCGCTCCCCAGTCTATGCTGGAGGGGAAACACTTCCCAGGCGAGTGTGACACGTTCTGCCCTGAGCTGGGTGGTGGGTAATTTACAGACTTGGGGCCACTGACCCTCAGGATAGCCCTGCCGGGAAGGTCCCTACACACACCCTTACAGATGGGAACAGTGACCTCCGGAGAGGTTGAGACGCCGCGAAGGTCCCGTGGACAAGGTGCAGGGTGGGATCCAACCCCGGGGCCCCCAGACTCTCTGAGCCACTCCCCTCTCTGGCCCCCTGGCTCCCCTGACCCTAAGTGCTCCAGCCAAAGAGGTGAAAGGGCTTTGCACCCCCATCTGTAGCAGCACCCCTCTGCTGTACCCAGGCCCGTTCTCACACCGAGCTCTTTTTGGCCTGACACTTTGCAAGCAGGGACCTTAGTGCTCTGGGTCTCAGTGGATGAGTTGGGACAGGCGGAGTGGGCACGCTAGGGTGGGGGTGGACAGTGGATTCAGCCTCCCTTCAACTTTTTTCTCAAGCAGAGTCACCTCCTCCTCTTGGAGAACTGAATTTTCCTCTCCACTTCCCAGCAAGAAAAATGTGAAGACTTGCAGGCCTTACAACACTGCACAATGGGCTGATGAGGCTGACCCTGGATAATTCGCCCGCACCCACCCCAGGGACAGACCGCAGAGAGCAGGGTCCTTACCTCCATCCTTTCTTCTTAATGATGTTTCCCAGTACCACTTCAGCCCTGCAAAACAAGACACTGAGATCTCATCATGGCCAAACAGAAAAATCAAACCCAGACCCACTGTGGCCACTGGCCACTTGGTTCCCTCTGTGAAAATGCCACTGGGGCCAGAGAGCCAGGCTGTTAACACCCGCCTTGGCTCAGTAGCTCATTCCAGAGAGAGAGGGCTGGCCCGAGGGGGCGGGAGCAGCTGTGTTACTGCTCCCCACTAGGATGGCTGTGGCATGTTCCCCTGCAGACACATGTCTGAGCAGTGGCGGCCCCAGCTCTCACAGAGAAGGAAGGAGCTGCTGTCGAGCTTGGCAAGGCCAGCATCCCATTTCCTAGTCAGCTGAAAATTCATGAGGGAAAATGCCTGGCAACATTAGGTGGGCAAAATTTCCACACAAATACCTTTTTTTTTTTTTTTTTTTGAGATAGAGTCTTGTTCTGTCACCCAGGCTGGAGTGTAGTGGTGAGATCTCGGCTCTCTGCAACCTCTGTCTCTTGGGTTCAAGAGATTCTCCTGCCTCAGCCTCCCGAGTAGCTGGGACTACAGGCACACGCCACCATGTCCAGCTAATTTTTGTGTTTTTAGTAGAGACGGGGTCTTACCATGTTGGCCAGACTGGTCTCGAACTCCTGACCTCGAGTGATCCGCCCACCTTGGCCTCCCAAAGCGCTGGGACTACAGGCATGAGCCACCGTGCTCGGTCAAGTATCTTTTTTTAAAGGTAAATTATTCATCAAGTACATCTTCTGTTTTGAGAGACAATCAACACGTACTCAGGGTCAAGGGCTGGATTTCCAGCAGACGTGCATGCTTGTGTATATGTGTGTGTGTACATGGGTGCATGTGTGTGGGTGCACATGTCCCTCTCATTTCCTGCGTTGAATGGCAGAGAGTCAGATGCTAGGCAGACCACTGTCTGTCCTGTTTGGCATCACTCCGGGTCCTGCACCAAACTCAGGCCAGCTGGGGGCATGGGCGGCCGTTGCAGCCTCGCCTGGCACTGCAGCACTGGATTAACTTTGAAGAACTTTCTGCTTGTAGCAAAATGTTTCTGAGCAAAACAACAGACGGAGAATGATCCGTACTCTGTGCTACATTCCAATTATAAAAGCGCCTGAGTCATCCACTCAGAAATAATGGGCTCTGATTTGCAAGCTGTTTAGCATGCGCTCTGAATGCTCCTCATTTATGGTCAAGACGCACAGAAAATTCACTCAGCCCTAGGCCTCTTCCTTTTATTCCTTGGTCCCTGATTTGTCGAACGAAGGATCAGGAAAGGAGGAGGAAGAGAGAAAAGCTGGCAGTGATCCCTGGGGCAGAGGAGCAGCAGACAGTGAGTTACCCAAGCCTGTGGCTTGTGACTCTGGCTGTGAATTTGGTAGGACTCACACCTGTTCGCGGGACACAGAAATCCTGCAGCTCTCCGAGAAGTATGCAAATTAGTGTCAGAAGAAGCAGGAGGCCTCGGGAAGATAAGGGTTTGGCCTCCTGCGAGCTGCCTCTCGGCCTCCCCCGAACTCCCCAAAGCAGTTTCTTACCGCCTATCTCTGGCACGCAGCGCCCAGGTCCCCTGTGAGGGCACTGATGGGCGTCCACCGGAGGCTCAGCTCTGAGCTGGACTGAGGGACCGCAGTGGCTGGCCCAGGAGCAGAGGGGCAGGGGATCCCACAGAAATGGCGACCTGAGGGGAAGTTGCTCCCTGACTCCCCGGCCTTCCGGCAAATGGCTTCTGAGAGGCCTGTGGCTGCTGGAGACCCAGTGAACTTGCCCAGCTCACCAGCTCTGGGTGTCCAGTTAAACAGGGGAACATGGAAACTGCAAGTGACAGAGGACGGAGTGTGGCTGCTGTGACATGGGGTGTGCCTGGCCCCATCCACGGGGCTGCACAGAGTTGCCTCCCACATGTTCTTCTGGGCAGCAAAACCCAGGCCAAAGCAGGCAGCGAAGAGGTGGGGGGCTCGGGACGGGAGGTGCCTCTCGGCTTGGCATCTGCACTGCGCTTTTTGACCTCAGACCCTTCTGCTGGGCTCATCTATCTGGAAAGCGGTTCACTTTGATGGGAAGCTGCTGCCAGTCTGGAGGGGGTGAGAGGGAGCTGTGCCATCAGGAGGGCCAAAAGGGCTGCAGATGGGGGCTGGAGGCGGTTTGAGGGCCCAGCGGCAGCCCCCAGGGCTGTGTGCTCCCCAGGCTCTGGGTGGGAACTTCAGTAGGGCTCGGTTGGGTTCCCTGCTGTCGGGTGCTCTGGGCCCCGCTGCAGTTGCAGGTAACCCACTAGGGCCCATGAAGCAGCTGCGGGCCAAGCAGCTACGGTGCACAGCAGCCCAGGCCTACAGCCTGCCCGGACGACAGGAACTTGGCTGGCCCCAGGCAGGAGCGGGGCAGAAGGAGAATGAAGAGAGGGCCAACAAATGATTTCACAAACAAAAGCTGACTTCTGGAAACCCAATGCAGAAGAGTGGATGATTTGATTACAGCCAGTCTTTAAAACTGAAGCCAACAGCCTGGCTGAAGAGGGCTGAGCTTTTACATAATTGAGCAGGAAGGTTCACTGCCAAGATGGGAAGTGCTCCCCACAGCACTCGGCCGGAGCCTGCCCTCCCTAGTTCTGAGGCCCTGCAGCCCTAATTGCACCAGTGAGACATGAAATGTCAAAATGTCAGGCACATCAAGAGAGTCCAGGACAGCAGCTTAATCGTGCCTCTCACCCAGCACAGCATCTTTGGCACCGGAGGGACTGTGGTCCCCCTGGTGACTCCATGGGGAGTTTAGCAAGTGACCAGTGTCCAAGCGTTCTGCAATTCCAGCCCCGTGAAAATAATACCTCCTAAACCCATTCAGAGTTTAAAAATGAAAGCAGGGCGCAAGGTGCATTTGTGAGCACTCTTGGGAACGTGAGTGGCAGGAATCCCTGCAGCTCCTGCTCTGCCCAGGCATTCTGCACCACTTTTTCCCATGTGAAAAGACACATACTTGCCGGCTGCGTAGACTTCTGCTGTATCGAAGAGGTTGATGCCATTATCGTAGGCCAAGGTCATGAGCTGCTCTGCCATCTGAAACGAGAAAACCAGCATTGTCCTGCCAGCCGGGAGTGGGGCTCAGAGGCTCTTGAGCACCACCCTCTTGGCCTGGGAGGCCTCCCTGTGTCTAGGCCCTGCCTCCCGGGGCCCGACAGGCTCCCCTGTGGGCTCTCTACTTGCCCTTTCCTGCCACAGGCCAGGGATGGCAGCAGCTCTCAGTAACAAACCCACTGAGAAGAATAAAGAAGGCAAAAGGAATGAAGAAACTGCCGAGGACTGTGAATTTCTTGAGAGCAGGGACCCCATCAGGTGGGGTCATCACAGGGCTTAGCACCTGTACTGGGTTGAACAGTCCCACAGAATTCATGTCCACTTAGAAGCTTAGAGGTGACCTCATTTGGGAATAGGGCCTTCTTGAATGTAATTAGCGAAGATGAGGTTGTACTGTGTTAGGGTGGCTCCTAAACACCATGTGACTGGTGATTTACAAGAAGAGAAAATGCAGACACAAATGTCCATGAGACTATGAAGGCAGAGACCAGAGTGACACGTCTACAAGCCAAGGACTGTGGGCAACCCCCAGGAGCTGGAAGAGGCATGGGGCGGACCCTCCCCCAGAGCCTTTGCAGGGAACCTGGCCCTGCCGACACCTTGGTATCCCACCTCTGGCCTCCAGAAGGTGACAGAACATCAGTCTGTTGTTTCAGTTCCCCAGGTTTTGTTACTTTGTTACAGCAGTCCTAGGAAACCAAGGCAGTCCCCAGCAGGGGCTCTGTGGACGTTGCTGGGATGAGTCTATGTCCTTAAAGCCAGGGCTGTGTATTCAGTTGTATCTCATTGAATCTTTCCCAGCACCTGCACATGAGGACTGAATTGTTATTTTTGTAGATGGAGCAACTGACGCCCCACAGCTGGTGCATGGCGGGCGACATCCATTCCAGCCTCTTGGCCAGTGTTTCTCCAATGGCACATGTTCCCGGCCCCGAGCGACACTGCTGTAGTGGTGGCTGCCTCGTGGGCAAGATCGATGAATGCCTGCCTGAGCTGAACGGGCCGCCGTCCGTCAGACTTTGCTCCGTGGCTGCTGTCAGGATGCGACTGTGCTCCATGAGCAAAGAACTGGTCGTGAGGTGGGACTCATGGAGCCAGGGGAGCCCCTCTGCAAGTGACAGCTCCCTCCAAGAGGCGGGAGAGACAGGTGCCCCTGAGCTGCTGGCCCTCGGACAGGGCTGCTTCCCTCTGAGTGTCACACTTCCCCGGGTGCAGCTCAGAGCACGGGGCCTCTCCGGCAGCAAGCTGGAGTGTGGGTGAATAATTCTTAATATGCTCAAACACCGTAGGACAGAAAACCAGCCGGGCAGCTTCACAGGGCTGCGTCTCTCCTTTCTGAGCTCAGAAGCCCTCGTGGCCAGGAGGTGTGGAGAGTGAGGACAGTGTCCTGTGAGGATCGCGGGGTAGCCACCACTGGGGGGCACCCACGGGAGAAGGCCCATGCCCAAATGCTGCCCGTGGGAAGGCGGGCCGGGTGCTAGAGATCTGCCAACTTCTCAAGAGAAGCCAGAAAGGCCGCATGTTTGTGGGTGGGGGGTGTACGGAAATCTGGCCGGCAGCCTGGCGACGTTGGCAGTCATCCCCAAACATCTCAGACACTGAAATGCACGCAGCCAAAGCTGAGCCCCGGTGAGTTAGCGGCTGTGATTTGAGTCAGGAAGCCCAACGGTGGAGGCCGTCGGTTTTCAGGACCCACCTGCTGGGGCTCCATTGCTGTCTTCCTGCTGCAGCTCAACTGCCCTGAGGTATCAAATGCATCCATGCATCAAATGCATCCACTGCCAGAGGGATCTGCTTCTGCTCCTCCAGCCTCCTCCTCCTGGATGTAGCCACTGAGGGAGCGCCCAGGAATCTGTCCCCACCTCTAGCACTTTGCTTCCCAGCACCAGGGCTCCAGCAGGGACAGAGGGGCGGCTTGTTCACCTGCTCACTGCTTCCTCCTCGTCTTCCTCCTGACTCTTCCCGGATGCCTCCCACAACCAGGCCCAGGAGGAGAGAGCCCAGGAGGGCACGGTGTGCCGGGCTCCGACGGGGCTAAGCCTGTGGTTAGGGCACTCGCACTCCTGCCAGGGCTTCTCAGAGGAGGGGACCCAGGGCTCCGTTTTCCGTTTTTGTATTTCAGACACGTGTATTTTCTTATCCCCCATCTTTTTCCAGGAGGCTGGCACACTACCCACATGTTTCTGCACTTTGATTTTTTCACTCACAATACATCCTAGAAACCAATCCACACCTGCTCATGAAGATCCCTTTCATTCTTTTTGTTTAATTAAAACATTACTGCATTTATCAAAGAGAATTTTTAAAGTTGTGGTAAAATACATATAATGAAATTTACTATTTTAACCCTTTTCAAGCGTAGTTCAGTGCCAGTAAGTACATTCGCATAGTTGTGTAACCATCACCACCATCCATCTCCCTGTCATGTTCCTAAACTGAAACTCTGTACCCATTGAACAGTAACTCCCTGTCCCTGCTCCCTGCCCCCAGTCCCAGCACCCACCATTCTCTGCTATTTATGAATTTAACTACTCTAGGAACCTTAGACAAATGCAGTCACACCCTATGTCCTTTTTGTGGCTTGTTTTAATGAGCGTAATGTCCTCAAGGTTCAACATTCATCCAAGGGGTAGCACGTGTCCAGAATGTCCAAGACTGGGTGTTTTTTTTTTTTTTTTTTTTGGAGATGGAGTCTCATTTTGTTGCCCAGGCTGGAGTGCAGTGGCATGGTCCTGGCTCACTGCAACCTTTGCCTCCTGGGTTCAAAAGATTCTCCTGCTTCAGTCTCCTGAGTAGCTGGGACTATAGGCACATGCCACCAAGCCCGGCTAATTTTTGTACTTTTAGTAGAGACAAGGTTTCACCATGTTGGCCAGGCTGGTCTCGAACTCCTGACCTTAAGTGATCTGCCCGCCTCAGCCTCCCAAAGTGTGCAGGACAAAGACCGGGTTTTGAAGGGTGTTTAGGAGTTTGTCAGGCAGGCAAGGGGAGAGTGGGTCAGGGAGGGCACTCCAGGCCCTGGGGCTGGTGTGGGCCAGGGAGGCAACCCGCAGCAGCATCAGCTTCTCTGAAGTCTCACTCACCCGCGCTCAGGTCAAACCCCGGGGAGCCCTCCTTGACTAATCCTCCCATCACTGTAGCGTGAAGTTCAGCCACTGCTGTGGCTTCCCAGCAAATTAGTCCAGAATCCGACCCCTCTCCCCACCTCCACTGTGCCCACCCTGCTCTGAGCCTCCAGCGGCTCTTGGCTGGTTTCTCTGCTTCCATCTTCTCTCTCTGCACCTGCCCCAGACAAAGCGTGGACCGTAGGCCAGCATGAGCATGAGATCAGAAATGCGACCTCCCAGGCTCCATGACGGCCCTGCCACATCGGGATGTGCCTTCTAAGTGCATCGGATCGTGCACACACTGAACTTTGAGACACCCTCATGACTGGCTATTCCCAGTGCAGCAGCCAGGGCGAGCATTGGCAGACCTTTTAAATCAGGTCAAATTTCCTCCATGCAAAAGCCCTCCAGGGGCTTCCATCTCACAGAGGGTCAAAGCCAAAGTCCCCACCAGATCTGCACCCTGACCCCCGACTCTATCCCCTGAACCCCCTTCTCCCCAACACTTGACCTTAGGGCTTGGCCTTGGTTGTCCCCTCGGCCCCCGGAAGGCTCTTTCTCTGGACCACCACGTGGCTTCCTTGCTCGCTTCTGCTTCCCAACTGCCCTGTCGTCAGGACCCCCACCCCCCTGCCCTCCTCTTTCTACTTTCTTCTCTGCAGTCAACTAAATAATGGTTCTCCAAAGGTATCAGGTCCCTAGAACCTGGGAATGTGACCTTAGGTAGAAACGGGGACTTTGCAGATGGGATTAACGTGAGTACTCTGCGATGGGGAGAATGTCCTGGCTTAGCTAAGTGGGCCCTCAGTGCCATCACAGGTGACCGTATGAGGATGAGACAGATGGAGACTTGACAGACAGAAGAGAAGGAGGGAGAGTGTCCACAGGGTCAGACACTGGAGGATGTGGGCACAAGTCAAGGACGGCCAGCAGCGCCGGATGCTGAAGAGGCCTGGAAGGGTCCTAGCCTGGAGAAGGGAGCCTGGCCCGGCTGACTCCTGGACTTAGGCCAGGAAGGATACTGGCCTGGAGAAGGGAGCCTGGCCCGGCTGACTCCTGGGCTTAGGTTCAGGGGTACTGAGTTTGGATCTCTGGCCCCCAGAGCCATGAGAGAATATGTTGCTGCTGTTTTCAGCCATGCATTGGTGGCTATCTGTTACACCAGCCACAGGCAGCGCACACCCTCTCCACAGCACGTTTGACCACTGGAGAAAGCGTCCTCTCTAGAAAGAGAGTGACTGGGAAGAGGCTGGGAGCAGGCAGGACGCTGGTGCTAAGCAGGGGCTCCGCAAGCCTGAGGCGGGGACCTGGCTGCTCCTGGCTCTGCTTTGCCCACCGGGAGGCCTCCAGCTCCTGCTCGCAGACGAGAACAAAGGGTTCGGCGCTCTCCACTCCAGAGCACAGTGGCCCTGGGCACGCCTGGTTCCCTCTGGGGAGGAAAGCCCGACCAATCACAGAAACCTGTGGTCATCACAGACCTCCGAGGGCATGCAGATAGCTGGATCAGCAGGGTCCGGCATGGCAGACACTGACACTAACCTCACCTGTCCCTCAGCAAAAACGAAGCCACCATACAATCCCAGCTGCATCCAGGGTGGTGCCTGGGACTGGGAGGACCAGAGGCAGGAAAGAGAGGGAGAGACTCATGGCATTGTGGGGCTGTGCTTTCTCACTGTTTTATTTATTTATGTTTTTATGGCTATGATTTTGCTGTAATTTTTCTTCCAGGTTTTTCTGCTCTTTCCCTAGAAAACTGAAGCTCTACTCCACAGACTGCTGTCTACGCTGCTGCTGTCTACACTGGCTGCGTTTTCCATTTGCTGTCACGGGCCTTTCCCATGCCGTCCTTCAAAACATAAGTTTTTTTTTTTTTCCCCGAGATAGAGTCTTGCTCTGTCATTCAGGCCGGAGTGTAGTAGCACGATCTCAGCTCACTGCAATCTCTGCCTCCCAGATTCAAGCGATTCTCTTGCCTCAGCCTCCTGAGTAGCTGGGATTACAGGTGCCTGCCACCACGCCTGGCTAATTTTTTTTAATTTTTAGTAGAGATGGGGTTTCACCCTATTGGCCAGGCTGGTCTCGAACTCCTAACTTTGTGATCCTCCCGCCTCGACCTCCCAAAGTGCTGGGATTACATGCATGAGCCACTGCCCCCAGACCTAAAACATGACTTCTAAAGACCTCCGCTCTGTGGCCGCATCCTGGTTCATTTTATGGAGCCTTTATTTTGTGACTTTTTGTTCCTTCCAGTATCTGGGTCCCAGTTACTGAAGTCAGAAGGAAGCTCAGGAGACATAAGGGCCACCTCCCTGTCACCCCCATCTGGAGGAACAAGGAATCTGTCCCTACCCCAGTACGGTCACCCCACAGCCGAGCTCTGGCCACGAGCGTTGAGGCAAAGAGCACCAGGTGGAATGCCCCGTGGCCAGCGGCCAGGTGAGACCCTTGCACCTGTTTATGGCCAGAGGTTCAGCTTCCCTGAACTGGGAATAGCACCTGCCTCCCTGGGTTGATAGAGGATTAGGTGAGATAATAGGTGTAAGGTTCTCAGCCACTACTTCTATTAAATTTTTATTGTTTGGCTTGTCTTGAACACATGCTTCTAATGGGGAGTGTGAGGCCACAGAAAGGGCACCTAACAACAGGAGGGCTGGAGACCTGAAACCACCCTGGTGGTGGCTCCGACAGGTGTCACGTCATCTTAGGGTCCCTAGTGTGGTCTGATCCCTTCATGGGCTCCTGGGAGCACTGGCTGAGAATGTGACAGTGGCCTACAAACTGTGGACTCTGCCCTGTGCCATGTGAGGGTGGCTGTCATTCCTGCCTCACCAGGTGGTTTGTTCCATCCCTGGGCAAGCTTTCATTGGGTCCCTGGCATGGCACAGAACTGGCTGAGCTGCTGTTCACACAACAACCCTGCAGATACTGCACGGCACAGCTGCTGTGGCCCACACAACAGGGGACATCAAGCCTTTTCTGTAAAGGGCCACGAGTAAATGCTTCAGGCACTGTGGGCCACAGATCTCTGTTGCAATTACTTAGCTCTGCCCTTGTGGAGTGAAAGCAGCCACTATGTGTAAATGATGGGCGTGGCTATGTCCCAATAAAACTTTATTTATACAAATAGCCTGCAGAGTTCATAGAGAGGAAGTAGATCAGAGGTGACCAGGGGATGGGAAGTTATTGTCTAAAGGTGCAGAGCTCCTGTTTGGGGTGATGAAATATTTTGAAAACAGATATTGGTCAGGGTGGCACAGTATGTGAATGTACTTAATGCCACTGAACTGTACACTTAAAAATGGCTAAAAAGGCAAATTTTATGTTTCATATATGTAATAAAAAACTGAAAAACAAAAAAAGCAGTCCAGGACGGTCCTTGCTTCCCTGCTGACTTGGACTGAGCCACAGAACCTGAAGTGCACAAATCCTCTTCATCTGAACCGCAGCCAGGTGGGCCCCCTGTTCTAGATGTATCGATTTCTTTTTTGACACTAACTGTAGGATTAATACAAAAATTTGTCTTGCTCCTTTGCTAAGCCATTTTCACCTGCCACAACCATTCAGAACCCCGTCTCTGCCATCTATTTTATTCTCTGTCCTTCCAGCTTGGTGTCATCCAGAAATGACCTCCAATATCTTCACACGTGTCCACCACTGTGTCCCTGATGGAGACACTGCAGAGGTCTGGGCCAGCGGGGCTGCCACTGGGCCACTCATTAATGCACTGAGGGGGGCCTGGTTTGCTGGTGAAAACGTCATCTTGTTGGATGGGTCTAGTCTGTCTGCTTGTTTATATCTTTCCCACAAGGACATCACAGGCCACCCAGCTAATATTGTTTGGAAATGAAGTTATGCCCTTCTACAGAATTCTCCCATCCTGCTTTAGAAACCACATAGAAAGGGAAATGAGGCCGAGTCAGGCAAGGCTGATTCAGATGGAACCATATGGGCCCCCGGGCTCATATGAACCAATCTGGTGGGCTAAGGTAAGGCAATTCCTTTTGCCTTAATAACTCCAGACTTCACCCTGAGATAGCGCCTATCCAGCAACTTCAAAGCAAGGGGAAAATCATCCTATAACCAGCTACTGTCTTTTTTTTTTTTTTTTTTTTTTTTTAAAGACAGTCTTACTTTGTGGCCTAGGCTAGAGTGCAGTGATATGATCTCAGCTCACTGCAACCTCCTCCTTCTGGGTTCAAGCAGTTCGCCTGCCTTAGCCTCTTGAGTAGCTGGGATTACAGGCACCTGCCACTACATCCAGCTAATTTTTGTATTTTTAGTAGACATGGGGTTTCACCATGTTTGCCAGGCTGGTCTCGAACTCCTGACCTCAGGTGATCCGCCCGCCCCAGCCTTCCAAAGTGCTGGAATTACAGGTGTGAGTCAACGCACCTGACCAGCTACTGTCTTAAAGATAAAAGTGGGCCGGGCGCGGTGGCTCAAGCCTGTAATCCCAGCACTTTGGGAGGCCGAGACGGGCAGATCACGAGGTCAGGAGATCGAGACCATCCTGGCTAACACGGTGAAATCCCGTCTCTACTAAAAAAACACAAAAAACTAGCTGGGCGAGGTGGCAGGCGCCTGTAGTCCCAGCTACTTGGGAGGCTGAGGCAGGAGAATGGCGTAAACCCGGGAGGCAGAGCTTGCAATGAGCCGAGATTGTGCCACTGCACTCCAGCCTGGGCGACAGAGCGAGACTCTGTCTCAAAAAAAAAAAAAAAAAAAAAAAAAAAGATAAAAGTGACCCCAAACACAAACTATATGCATTTAAATTTTCATAGAAGCAAAGCTTTCCCTTGGAAATCTGAGCAATCACAGCTAACAAGTTCTCGCATCAATTCGCCGATCAATTTTTGAACGCAACCTTTCTAGTACTAAGTAGGACAAACGCGAAAATTGCTTCTTGTGCAGATGCCCAGAGCTGTCTGAGCAAATGCCACCGCTCTCATTTCTGAGATGCTGCCTCGCTGTCCAGAAGCATGTCTGGGCGTGTACTGTCCCTGCCCTTCTGAGAGACCCAGAGGCGCTGGCAGCATACAAGCTGGCTTTTCCTTAGTGTTCACTTTCTTGGTCCAATTGTGGGGACATGAGCCCCAGCAAATACATCAGAGGTGGGGTTCCGTTCGGGGTCCCTGACTTCCCGCAACAAAAGACATCTGACTGCGATCCACACGGTTCGCGGCAGCTGGGAAATGCACGGTGGATGCTGGGTGAAATGGTTCTTCAGCTTGCAGCAAGCACTGCAGGGGCTGCGTTCCACACGACCTCAACAGATAGTTACTGGAGTCTCCACGGCATGTGGGCAGCTAGGATCTGCATCCAGCTTCAGAATTTGGGAAGCATGTGCACCCTGAACTCTCCTTGTTAACTGTGGAATGGGGGTCAAGCGTGTGGGAAATCTGAGTCCTGGGGAGCTTAAGCGACATGATGAGGCCCGAGGCGTCTACTGCTGGGTGATGGCACCACACTCGGCATTCCCTTTGGCCACAACCACCTGGCTCTCCTTTCTACTCTCCCCTGGGGCAGGGCGCCCTCGCACAACAGAGAGAGGGAGGCAGGGTGCCGCACTGGCTCCCGGGAGCACGTGCTCACTGGTCCCTGCAGCAGACTTAACCATGTGCTCTGGCGAGCCCATGCTGGGCTCTGGGGTGCTGGGAGAGCCCCGTCTTACCTCATCGGTGATCTGGCCTCCGAAGGTCACCCATGTTCCTGGAAGGAGACACAGGGGTTCAAGTTAGGGACCCAGCAGGAAGCCAGATTCTCCCGACGGTGCTCAGGCCTCAGGCTGCAGGGCCCAGGGGGCAGCCACAAGAGTCCCTCTGTGCTGCTGTGTGGCCAGGGTGTCCTTGGTGTGCGTGGACACCTGGCCTTCAGAGAAAGTCCTGCTCTCTTGGGGTCACTAAACTGAGGGGACGAAAGTCTCTGGAGCAGGCTGCTGGCCATGGGCCCAGCAGGTCTGGGGCTTTTGAAATGCTTGTCAGAGCTGTGCTGAGGTAGCACCACATGCTGCAAGGAAAGGCACAAGGGACGCCTCTCTGAAAACACACCAGGTCTGACAGCTGCATCCGCGTGCTCCTGCTGGGACGGAGTGGGGAGGGCGGCGTCAGGGCAGTGGGCGGTGGTCGGGGGAGGGTGTGTGTATGCAGTGGGCGGTGTGTGTGTGGGGTGTGTGTACTGCATGCACAGGGGAGATGGGGACTGCACGTTCTGGAAACAGGCCTTGCATCTGACAGGGGAGGAAAAAGGGCCAAATCCAATGGCGCTCCAGGAGGGACTCGTAAGCTGAGCCTGCCGTGGAAGGTAAGGTGTCTTCCCTGCAGTCCCGGGGCTAGAACGGCCTCTGATTTTGTGGTGTGGGGTGGGGACCGTGTATGGGGGGCCCCTAATATCCGCCTCATCTCCTCTGCTGAGGTTGTGTCCCTCTCTCCCTCTATCCCAGGCCCCCTCCCACCTGCCTCTTTGTTGCCATGGCAACCGAGCCCCCCTGAATCCTGGGCTCTGGGTACAGCTTCTCCCTGGGGAGTACTAAAGGCTGGGCCACCCTGCCTCCCAGGGGGTGTCCAGTTCAGCCCATGTCCGGCCCCCCGACAGCCCGTTTCCCTGGTGGGATGGAGGGGACCACTACACTCACCAAGTCCCAGGCAGGAGACTCGCAGGCCAGACTTGCCCAGGTTCCTGAAAAACAAACGCCACGTGAGTTCTCAGCACCCGGGCAGGACCCTGCCAGCCAGGCTCAGGTCCTGCCAGGGCCAGCCCCCCAACTACTCCCCCAAAGGTCAGTGTGTGTTTGGAGGCTCCGAAAGGCACTGGGGACCTTCAGAGAGGTGCTTCTGCTCAACCACCGCAGGGGTAAAGTGCCAACTGTCCCCAGCCCACACCATGCTGCTGGCACGGGCCCTGCTGGTGCCCAATGGGGATCTGCAGAGTGGTCTCGAGGACAGATGGAAATGCAGAGGGACGCTGATTTATGGTGAAACCAGGCTGGTCTCAGCCCCGTGGCACCACCTATGTGGTGCCCCTTGCAGAGAAGCCACCTCTTCCCTCCTCTCTGAGGCCCCATTTTTGATTTTGTGTCTCTTCTTCCTGTCTTCAGAGACTGGGGCAGGAGATCGTCCTGTGCACTGGACCACATGGCCTGTGCATCCGTCCCTCAGGGTGCGGGGAGCTCCATGATGGGGCGGCCAGTTCTTAAGCAAGGCCAGCCCTTCCTTTGTTACAGCCAGTACCAGGCCCAACAGCCGCGGCAGAGCCTGGCAGCGCAGGCCTCCTAACCAGGCACAGCTGCCCGGGCTCCTTCCCAGGGCCACTGAGGCGCCTACCCGCTGCGGTGCATCCCAGGGTTCACAGGAACAGGCCTTGGGCCATCATGACCGTCCTTAGGAGGTGAAGGAGGGTGGCAGCCCTCTGCTGAGGACCGGCATGCTGGTCTGTCCTGGCACAGGTCACCTGGGAGCCCACAGGATTGCAGCAGGCCAGGCGGTCCCCAGGCATCCCGTCCCCAGATCCTCCCAGGAGCTGTACATGGCAGGTGTCTTGCTTGTTGTGACATCGATTCCCACAGTAGGAAACCTGCCTAGCAGGCGGAGGAGCTGGGATCCCACTCAGGCAGTTGGCTCCCAGCTTACGTTCCCCACCATGGTGGCGTGCATCCCACCCCCAGCCTGTTTAGCAGGGCGTGATCTGCCCAGGTGGTGAGGATGGCAAGTGGCCGGGTGGGTCTCACAGCTGCAGCCAGGCCTGGACTCATCTGGGGTCAGATTCCACTTCCCTTGTGGGATCCAGCTGCCAGCATCTGGTCAAGGGGCAGCTGCTTCTAGGAGGTGGGGAGTGAGAGCCATGAGTTACCAGCGGGTGAGGCCCAGCCTCCTGGCCCAAGGGCCCTGCATTTCCCTGGGGCCATGACACTTCCAACTTCGGAGGATGCGAAGTCCTCAGTTAATCCTCTTCCTGTCCAAGCCTGGCCCCTGGGAAGGTGGCATGGGGCTCAAGCCTCATTCTGACCCCCCGACTTCTGACATGAGCCCACTCTGTCCCTCCCAGCCTCGGTTTCCCTGGTTATAAGGCTCCTGGACTCCTATATCATGAGTGAATATAATACTTCTAAGCAGCTTGAAAACAGCTGAACGTGTCACCAAATTGAAGGTACTTTAAAATTGCCTAGGTTTATTTTTTAATTTCCCATTAAAGCCAGTCCAGCTGCCAGCTATTGCTCCTGTAGGCAGAGCTGGGATTTTCTCTAAAGGAGAACATAAGAACAGGCGAGTTTTCTTTCAGGAAAGGGGAGGACCGGGCGGCGGCTACGGGCAGAGACTCTGAAGCCAGAGCCCAAATCCTGGTTCAACTTTCCTGGCTGGAGGACTCCAGGCATTTTATGGAGTGGCCTGATGCCTCAGTGTTCTCATCTGCAGAATGGGCTCACAAGGCTGCCTTTCTCACAGTGGCTTCCATGAGGACAGAAGGAGATCCGTGAGGATAGAAGGCCACAGGACACTGACTCACATGTGTCTCATTTCCCAAAGACAGCAAGAGGGTGACCTTTTCTTTATTCAAACACAACAGACAAATCAAATAAGCTTTAACTATTACCATGTTAAAAAGGAACTGAAGTTTCCTTTTTCCTCCTTATACATCAGTGAAATAATCTGAGAGTACCCTCTGCATTGCTGGCATGTTCCAACCCAGAATAATTCATGTCTGTGACTGCCACGCAGAACAGCGCGACTGTATCACTGATACATTCTGCATGAGCCTGGTCAGTTTAGAAGTTTAGGTAATTTCCCCCACGCTGGCTAGAAAGTAACTGTGGTAGGAAGTTATAGAGTTGCTTAGTAGGAGTCTAATAATGAAGCAAAGGGCTGGAGGTTCTGACCAGTGCCTCTCGGCTGCTTTGGGGTCATAACCCCTTTGCAAAAACAGATAAAGCCTGGAAATACGCCCAGATACATATGCCCTCAGAACCTTGCTTGCAACATCTGGGTGTTCACAGAGCCCTGGACCCCACTAGTCTAGACACATTTGGGCACGGAGAAGGGAGGCCAGGCCCCCACCTCTGCAAAACCACCTCCATGAGTGACTGTGGGGAGCAGTTGCTTGAAAAAGCTCTGCTAAAGGCCAGGTTGGGGTGAAGAGAAGAGGCGCCCCTTGGTTGCCAGTTTGGGGAGGGCTGACAAAAGTTGCCCCTGCCCCTGATTCCATATCTGTTCCTGGTCTGACTGGTGGGAAATGGGCCCGCTTCCCCGAGTAGGCTCCGGGTTCAGTCGCTCTTCCACTCACTACCCACAGGACTAATTTAACAAAACTAGGGCACCACGTGATGCCACAATTACCCTGCTCAACTTGTTTCCCTGTGAAAATGATGGTATTGGTTCTGCCATCTGCTGCCAGGCCTCGGGAGAAGGGATGCAAAGGGACAGGGCACCTCCAGGCTGAACGCTGTGTAAGCATAGCTGCTGCATGGGGGTGGGGAGCACACGTCTCAGCTGGGTCTGGACGGGGCTGCTGCCTGCTGCACTTGAAACTTCCCAGACACAGAAACCATTTCCTACCGATTTCTTCCTCGTCATTAAAACCTGACATCCTAATGAAGCAGGCGGTCAACATCTTGAAACCCAAATACTGTTGGTCTTCATTAATTTGCCTCATGTCTCTCCTGGGGTCTGGAAAACGCCCAGTGAGGACTCACAGACATAACCTCTGCCGGAGGGGAGCGCCCATGCCTATCGTGGAGCCCCTGGATGCTACACACCCCTAAAAACTGCACTTCAGACTTGGGAAGGGCCAGAGCTGGAAGGCCCTGGGAAATGACAGGTCATTTTACAAAGAGGAGTTTGGGGCCTTTCATTGGAGCCACCTGGGCAGAGGACAAAACTGTGATCGGGTGAAGGGCAAGCACCGTGGCCTTGGCTAGCTGGTCCCGGAGGAAGGCAGATGGGACGGCTCCTGTTAGTGCCCTGCTCGCCTGTCTGCTCTGTGCAGTGATGATCTGTTTGCACGCCTGCCCTGCTCCCAGATTCCAGGCTCCCTAAGGACAGGCTGGGCTTCCAGTCTTTGTCTTCTAATTGGAGCTGGCAGTGGCAGGGTCCCAGGGAGTGCTTGTTTGTGACGACGTTGGGGAGTAATTCAGGGGTGAGAAGCCCAGGCCCTGGGGTCAGACTCTCGGGACCAGGTGCTGGCCCCTCCCTTACTTATCAGGCTTGGTCTCCTGCCATCCCACACTGAGCATGCCTTAGGCCCTTGGGCAAGAATGTGGCGCCTGGTACTGGCCATGCACCTTTAGTTTCCAATACCTGTGGGCATCACTGGACAGCTGTGCCTGGAGCACACCACTGGCAAGGGCCAGCTTCCCAGGGAGGAGGTCAGAGTCACAGGGAGGCTGGGATCAGGCTCCCCCTCAGTCCCTGCTGCCCCTCGCTTGCACCCTGGCTGTGGCCTTGGGACAGTCCCTGTGTAGCAACACATTAAGCAGGTGCCGCATGAGCGAGATGGGAGAGGCCCGGGGCGGGGGTGCCCAATGGCACAGGTTTTGGATTGCCAGGCCCATCTCAGCCCCTGTGAAACTGCACCTCATCCTACAGGGCTATGAACCTACCTGCCGCCATGACAACAGCAAGGAAAGCTCCCAGGCCTGGCCTGGTATAAGGCTCTGTTTGCAACTCCATTGGAGAGATGGGGTCCCTCAGTCAGAGAGTGCTAGGGCTGGGATTTGAACTCTGGTCCGCAGACTGCAAACCTGTCAGCTTGATGAACACCCCCCTTCACTGCCCTGTCTTGTCCTCTCTGCCTTCAGCACGCACGTGTGTGCATGCACACATAAACACACACATGGGCATGGTGAGCACTCACCCTCTTGGAGAGCCACTCCTCAGTGAGTTTTAGGAGGGAAACAGTGTTAACAGCCACACTTTCCAATTACGTAGTGCCTTATGTTTAGAAATAGGCCCGCTTTTAACTCCTTTGAGATCCTAGGACTCAATAGATAGATACCTATCACAGAAGGCAATAGGTATCTGAACCAAAAAATATACGTATACATGTTTGGTTCACTCCTAGCTTTATTTATTTTTTTGAGACAGGCTCTCATTCTGTCACCCAGGCTGGAGTGCCGTGGCGTGATCTTGGCTCACTGCAACCTCTGCCTCCCAAGTTCCAGTAATTCTCCCACCTCAGCCTCCCGAGTAGGTGGGACTACAGGTGCGCACCACCATGCCCAGCTAATTTTAGTATTTTTTGGTAGAGACAGGGTTTCACTATGTTGGCCAGGCTGGTCTCCATCTCCTGACCTCAAGTGATCCACCCTCCTCAGTCTCCCAAAGTGCTGGGAGCACAGGCGTGAGCCACCTCACCTGGCCCTAATTCTAGCTTTTGATCCCTACTTAACAAAAGATGTAAACTCCAGAGCTTCTAAAACAGAGAATTCCATTCTGGACTGTCATTAAGCTTAGAGGATTAGACACTTTCAGCCCAGAGGTTCATTAAAGCATATCCCACCCTCCTGGGACACAGGGAAGGAAGAGACACGAATGTGGATGCAGGACCCCAGAGTCATCCCAGAATTCACCTCCAGAATTGGTTGGCTTAGATGACGCAGTTTTCATACGAGGCCCAACTCTCAGGCATTGGTTTTGCAGAGGTTTAAGCCACACAGCTCAGGCATCAGGATGGACTCACAATGCTTT